AATGATTTTTTTCCCTCTCACTTCCTCACTGTTTTCAAATCATCTTGCAATAAATAATCTTGTGCATCACTTTTTAAGGAGCTCTAGTGGCATAGTGGCTAAGGCACTTGACTGCTAACCAGAAGGCTGGCAGTTCAAACCCGCTGCCACTCCTTGGAAGGAAGGTTGGGCAATCTACTTCCGTAGTGATACTGCCTCGGAAACTCAAGGAGGAGTTGCTATGAGTTGGGGCTGACTCGATGGATAACAACAACAACAACACTTTTTAATATATTTCTTTAAAAACTTCCAAAGAGAAGAATTCTGAGATGTAAAATTAATGTTTTTAAGGCCTTTAGTAAACACTAGCCAGCTGGTTATCTAACACATTTTTGTTTTTCCCTCTTTGTCAGTCAACAATGTTGGAATGCTTCCATACTATTTCCAGAGCTATTTCCTTAACACACCGGAGGAAATCCAGGTAGACTTATGTTCTTATGTGTGTAGTTTCTTCTTACCAAGGTACTGTGTCCCATGGCTGGATAATCACCAGGGCCTGAGAGGAGGTAATTGAAGTGTATCTCACGAAAATTTAATGGTGCAAATTTTGAGGTATCTCTTTCTTTTTACCTTAGTACTTGATACATAATCAATGCTTCCACTTTTCATGGCCATCTTTAGGATAAAGACATCTTCCTTCTTCACACTTCAGAACTTACCTGTTCACTATCCCATTCATTTGTGGCCAAATTCTGCATGATAAATTCACACAGAACTCTTTGGCTTTCTCTGTCATGCCAGGAAATAATATTTGTTCAACTTTCAGTGTGAGGAAAGTACATGATACAGACACTATGGTTAGAGTATTGTAAATTCACCAACCTTGGTTCAGACCCTTGGCTGCCATTGTTGGTCATGATAGCATTTTATGCATTTAACAGTCCTTGAAAGTACTATTTGTTAACCTTTCACCAGGCCCTGACTTTGAGGTTGTACCGTTATGTCAATTCCAAACAGCCTATCATGGTTCTCCATTTCTTGGGGGAATTGTCACCTGCAATTATTCCTATCATCCTATTTAAGCTGAGGGTAGAATGCTCTGGCACGTAATGCCAGATTGATTGAATATTGCTGTCACATCCTTACCACACTCCTCTCTTGACCATATATTTAACCCATGTCCTCTTGCTTTCAACACTCCCTGCGTCTGGTCCAAGTCTCTATCCCTCCATGAATGTATCACTGATGCTTCATTCTTGCTGATCTCCCTCTAATTATGCCTGTTTGAGTGTGTGTCTGCATGTTGCTGTATCTGTCCTTCTTTCACCTTCTCTCTGTGTTGAGTGATTCTATTAGTTTCCTTTTCTGGTCTCTATACCCTAGAATCTTTACCTTGCATTACATGATCATTTGCCTTTCTATTCTCTATGCTATTGTCTTCTATCACACATGTGATAGTCCCTCATCCTCCAATTGGAAATTGAACATTTTGCTTTGAAAAACTCAGTTCAGATGCATAGCTGAGTTTTCACAAAGACTCTTGGTGAGCTCAGTTGAAGATCACATACTTACAGAATCATGGCATGGATGTCAGATGTTACCTAATTTGGGTCTGTACTCACCAAACATCAATTAGAAGCCTAATTTGTAAGCTGGATTAGTGATGACACTGCTCAGACCTACATTTTTGTCCATTACATAGTTCTTTAGCACTGACTACTCCTCAAGAGAATTTCTCAAACTATTGGAGGAGCTGTGGTGGCGTAGTGCCTAAGGCACTTGACTGCTAACCAGACAGCTGGCAGTTCAAACCCACCAGCCACTCCTCGGAAGGAAGGTTGGGCAATCTACTTCCGTAATGACACTGCCTCAGAAACCCAAGGAGGGATTGTTATGAGTCGGGGCCAACTTGATGGCACATAACAACAACAACAACATTGGATTAATTCATCGTTGTGATTATTTGTTACAGAGCCTCATCCATTGTAACATCACCTCAGTAGTGAAGGTATGTAATCAGTATGTGTGCTGGATGCATTAAAATGTAGTAGCTGTCAGAATCTGGCAATTCAGGAAACTACCTCTTTATACTATAGAAGCAAAATTCTTTGAAATTGAGCCACACTTGAGTGAGAGATAATCTAGTGGTCCTTTAAATATCTTACTCTGATTTCATTAAGAAAATACAGTGATGGAATCATTCTCTGCAGTATCTAAATCCTATTTGTGCACTCAGTTGAGTCACATGTCAGAATATATTTGGCCTGACAGTTCTGCTACTTGGTCAAGATCCCTGTTTTGGTTACCTAGTGCTGCTCTAACAGAAGATAAACCACAAATGGGTGGCTTTAACAAACAGGAGTTTATTCTCTTACAATTTTGGAGGCTTTGAGTCTGAGTTCAAAGTGCCAGGCTCTAGGCACTGGATGAAAGCCCTTCAATGTTGGGCTTCAGCTCTGCCTCCTGCTCCTGGCCCACTGAAGCTAGAGGCTTTTCTTCACTCAGACAGCTGCTGGCTGCTGAGGCTGCCAAGTCCAAGGTTGACAAGTAGAAAGGCACAGTCCCAATGTTACCAAGCAACACGGCAGGCCACTAATTCAAGTCCAGATGAAGTCCCAAGATTGGCATGGCATGGCAAGCTGTTGAACAACAACTTGGCTACATGCAGGGTTCAAGTGTGCCAAAAGGCTAGACAACTTTCCCAAGGCTTCTCCATATACATAGGAAGCAGATCACATCCCTAAAGCAGCTACTCAGCTGCTCACAGTAGATTCCATCATGGAGTTGATTAACAGTTTCATCATGGGGAATACTACATCCAGCTGGCCAGCCACTCAACCAAGCCCAGCCGAGTTGACACATAAACTTAACTACCACAATCCCAAGGCATTTTTTTTTTTAATTGAATACCTCCTGCTACTTTTAATCTTTGTATATAGAGGAAAGCTCACAGTGTTTGGAAAAATGACAAAGAATATGGCTTATATTTTCTGGACTTTTGTTGCATAATAAATATTTATCGAACTGAAGCTTGAGTTCTAATTCCAGTTTGGATACTAATCAGTTGGATAGGATTGGTGAATTATTTAACCCCCTGGAACTTCAGATTCTTCATGTATTATTAAAAGAGGGTTGGACTATGTGATGTTTTAGGTGTCATTTTAAACTCAAGTCCTCTGATTAGGATTAACTGCATAAGCGTCTCCAAAGCTATAGTATTCTATATCAATTCATGAATAAGAGAAAAGTGCACCCTCTGGGCAATTTAGAAAAAGTGTTGCTTAAATGTGGGCACAGAGCCTCTGGGTGGTGCAAATGGCTAATGCATTTGGCTGCTAACTGAAAAGTTGGCAGTTTGAATCCCCCCAGAGGACCCTAGGAAGAAAGCTCTGGTGATCTACTTTCAAAGACTCAGTCACTGAATACCCTATGGAGCACAGTTCTATTCTGATGCACGTGGAGTCACCATCAATTGGCATCAACTTGATGACAACTGTTTTTTGTTTCCTAAATGTGGACACAGCCTGATGCTGCATGACTTGCTGAGTAGATAATGCTTTTCAGTGAACACATGTTTCCCCTTCCTCCACCTCTACAAAAGTACATGCCTTGTGAGTGAAACTTGGCCTTTTTGTGCCCACTCATTCCTACACCTGGGAAACTTGTTCAGTGCACAAACTTCACAACTGGACATGGCAGCTCTTGCGATCACTCTAGAAGGTGCTTTGGATGGATGAGCCTTGATGAGCAAGGTATGATCCTTGACCTCATGGAGCTGGGACCCTGGCTGGGGAGCAGAAGGAGGCTCAGTCTCACACATTTAAACAACACAGACTGATAGTGGAGGGGGAAGCCAGTCCAAACTTGGGTTTTTATCAACATAAATAGGGGCATGGATGCTGGGCAGACTAAACAAAAATTATTTTTAAGTGGATAAGTTAGGCTGACAACAATTATTTTCACCACGAGTTGTTTCTCTTCCAAACATGCTGGTATTTTACAGTTTCCTGCTCAGTTATGATTGGATACATACATTCTTTCTATGCTGAGCCATCAGTGGCTTTTTAAAGTCCCAGCTGATGTAATTTTATGTTTTATACGTCCAATTGCTGTCTGCAGCCTTACCACTAACATTTTTCATGTTATTTTGCACATTGATCTTTCAGTCTTGCTCTGTTTCATCACAGGGGTTTCTCAAATGTATTTGACAACTCTCTGACTTCATTAGCAGAGAAATGCTTTGATTTGCTAAAAAAAATTATTTTATGTATTGTTAAGCAGTAACCTCCCTACATAACAGTGAAAATAAATGGAAGGTTTAGTTCTAAGTCTGTCATCATCCAATTAGCCATGTTGATTGGAAGCATGTCCCCAAGGAGCATCTGGGATTAGTAGAGTTCACCATCAAGAGCAGAGATGGAAGCATGCATTGGAGGCAGAGGGAAGATGGGATAAGAGACTAAATATTGGGAGCTTTAAGGCAGGGATATACACAGTTCATTGTTGTCTCTCTAATGGAGATCAATCACCCCATAAGACTAGTAAATTCATTTAGAAGACCTTTGAGGAAATTCTGGTGTTGTCCAACAGTGCTCTAACTAATACCTTAAATGATCTGGAGGGAGTCAGGGAATCTAGTCTCTCTCCCTTCTCTTGCCTCTGTCAAAATCTTTCAGGAGACAATACAGTGGGTTCTACGGATCTCCTCTGCCTCCTTCTGTTATAACTGTCCCATAGCAGTAAAAACATTATTTGGAGGCTCTCTAAGATATAATAAGGGGTTGGCTGATGACATGGGGGAGCAGTGGCAGGGACAGAGACTACCAAGACAACATGGAGAAGCAGGCAAATTCTGCCTTCTAGTCCTCAGCCTCCTTTCACTCTCTCCTCTCTTTTTCCCTTTGGATCCCTGGTTTCCAATTTGCTCCCAGGACAGAGCCCAATTCCAGTGCTTTATGGAACATTTCAGTCCATGAGTTTGGCTCTTAGTTCTTAAAACATGTGCCTTCCTTTTCATGGTGAAATGCAAAGTTACTTTAATAGAACAGTGAGGTTCCAGAACTGGCAAGGAAGACCTTTTCAGGGAGTGGTAGGTTGGGATGTCTGTTAGTTCTCTAGTGCCGCTCTCGCAGAAAATTACCACAAATGGGTGGCTTCAACAAGCAGGGATTTATTCTCTTACAGTTTTGGAGGCTAAAAGTCTGAGTTCAAAGTGCCAGCTCTGGGGGCTGGGTGGAAGCCTCTCAACCTTGGGCTTCGCTCTGTCTCTTGCACCCAGCCCACTGAAGCTGGAGGTGTCTCTTCACTCAGAGAGCTATTGACTGCTGAGACAGACAAACCAAAAGTTGACAAATAAAATGACATAGTCCCAAGATTCCCAAACAACATGGCAGGCCACTAATTCAAGTCCAGAAACAGTCCCAAGATCGGCAGGAAACATGGCAGGCTGCTGAATGAAGACTCAATTACATGCAGGGTCCAAGCATGCAAAAAAAAAAAAAAGTGCAGAGGCCTTTTTAAGTATTTCTTCTTATATACTGGAAGCAGACAACATTCCAAAGTCAGCTACTCAGCTGCTCCAATAGATTCCACCACGGAGCTGATTACCACTCACATCAAGGGGAATAACTACATCCAGCTGCCCAGCCACTCAAAGCTAGGTCAAGGCAAGTTGACACACAACTTAACTACTGTAAGGAGGTATGTTGTTATTCCAACAGGCAGGCAGTGGCTACATGGTCTGTCTTCTGAACTATTTCACAGACCATCTGCAGGCTGCTTAAAAAAAACAGTTGCTATTGAATCAGTTCTCACTTATGGTGATGCCATGGATATCAGAGCAGAACCCCTCTGTGGGAAATTTGGAGGATCAACAGGCCTTTTTTCCCAAGTGCCTCTGGGTGGATTAGAACATCTAATTTTTCAGTTAGCAGGCAGGCTACTTAGGCTACTTCTTTTGAATAGAAGAGATGACTTTCTTCATCTCGTACCTTGTAATGAGCTGCTCATTGATGCTTGTTAGTTTTCCTGATAGTTTCCTGATTCTAAGGCATGGATGAAATTTGTAATGGCCAGCTGACTTTTGCCTCCCAGAATAAAGAGTATCTTGGGAATCTCAGTGTTGAACTTATAGACATACCCACAATTTTTTCTCTGCCCCTATTTTCCTGGAAAACTAGCTTTATAAGGAATAAACTAATGGCCTCTGAACAGTTAGTTTGTGGTTTATCTAGTCCAGGATCCACTTTTTGTCAGAATTACCTCCCATGAGAGTTAAGGCCATCTGAGAAGATTATACTCTTTCCTCAGCTTCCTCTATTACCCACCTTCCCACTTAGCTCCTTAATCAGTGCATAACTTTGGTCTTCTTTTGTAGATGACACAGCTGATTCTGAAACACATGGAAGCAAGGTAAGACCTTCCTTTGTAAAAGTGTAGAGCCTCTCAGTCTCCTAGTCCTGGTAGTCAGCTGGTCTGGGGCATAGGAGAATGGGTTCATTCAGTCTATGGCTTTAAACTCACTGTCATGCAGTTGATTCCAACTCATAGCAACCCCTACTGGGATTCCAAGGTTATAAATCTTTATGGTAGTAGATAGCCTCATCTTCCTCCCATGGAGCTGTTGATGGATTTGTCTTTAGTGTGGTCATGCAGAAAAGCTGGGGGCAGGCTGGGTGGGTTTTGGCTGCTGTCTGCTGTCCATTCAGTGGTGCTGGAGCAGGTGTTGTTGTTGTTGTTATGTGCCTTTGAGTCAGACCCTACTCATAACGACCCCTCCCTGGGTTTCCGAGGCAGTATCACTACAGAAGTAGATTGCCCAACCTTCCTTCTGAGAAGTGGCTGGTGAGTGTGAACTGCCAGGCTTCTGGTTAGCAGTCAAGCACCTTAGGCACTACGCTACCAGAGCTTCTGGAGCAGAAGGTAGCCCTCACCAAGTGGGTAGTATGGCAGGTGTAGAGAGTATGGCTGGTTAGTTCTGATTTCTTGGCAGAAACCA